ATGTGCTGAAAAGTATTAATAGGCTAACACATCAAATGTTATACATAGTTATTTCCTGTTCACTTCCTATAAGCAAAGAAGTTCAATCAGCAGCATAGATCTTTACAAGATAAATCATCTACATTTATCTGCTATCACTGTTTGCACTTGTGGATTAAATTAACTTGCACAGGCGAAGTCAGAACTGAAAACCAACAAGCTGAGTAAAGTTTTAGCCCTAGATAAGCTTCTTCCTGTTGTGCTTTATCACTGTGAAACTAAGATTTTTTTTTTTAAGTCGTTGCTGTTTGATGACGCTTTTAAGTTTTATCATCTGTTTTAAAGTTACTTAGGAGTGAAGTTTTACATACATAGATCATTTTATTAATGAAATCTAGTCTGCATGTTGCCTGTTCCGGTGGATTGACCCTGGCAGGACACTAGGTGCCAACCAAAGCCAATGTATCACCTCCTTTTCAACTGGACTGGGGACAGAAGATACAATGAAAGGCTGATAAGTTAAGGATGTGGCAAGATCACTCAGCAATTGCCATCAGGGTAGAAGTGTCTCAGGGAAATTATTTTAGTTCCTTACCAACCAAATCAGAATAGGGTAATAAGAAGTGAAACTAAATTTTAAAAACACCTTCTTCCCCTCCCCTCCCTTCCTCTCAGGATTAACTTTATTCTTGAATTCTTCCCCCCAGCAATGCAGGGAGACATGAAATGGGGGCTGTGGTCAGTTCGTCAGCTGTTGTCTCTGCTGCTCCTTCCTTCTGAGGAGGAGGAGGGCTTTTCTTCTCTATCTCCAATATGGGGTCCCTCCCATGGGAGACAGACCTCCATGAATTTGTCCAAGATGAGTCTTTCTCATGACCTGCAGTTCTTGACAAATTGCTCCAGTGTCGGTCCTTTCTACAGGATGCAGTGCTTCAGGAAGAGACTGCTCCAGTGTGGGTCCCCTAAGGGATTACAAGCCCGACCAGCAAACCTGGTCCAGCATGGGCTCATCTCTTCACAGGGCCACAGCTCCTGCCAGAAACTGATCCAGTTCAGGCTTTTCACAGTGTCCTAACTCCCCTTTGCACATCCACCTGCTCCAGCACTGGGTCCTCCACAGTCTAGAGATGGATGTCTGGTCTGCCACGGACCTTGGGGAGCTGCTGGGGCACAGCTTTCTCACCACGGTCTGCACCAGAGGCCTCATGGGAAACTAATTCAGCAAATGGAGCACCTTCCCTTCCTTCTTTTACTGATGTTGGTGTGTGCAGGGCTGCTTCTCTCATATATTCTCACTCCTCTCTTTAGGTGCCATTACTGTTGTGCAGAGTGGCTTTTTTCCCCTTTAACCACATTATCCCAAAAGCCCTACCACCGTCACAGATGGTGTGATGGCTAAGGCTCAGATGGCTTAGGCAGAGCCTTAGCCAGCATTGGGACCATCTTGGCTCTGGGTGAAGTTTCTGGCACCTTCTAGCAGAGGCCATCCCTGTAGGGCTCCCTGCCATGCATACACTACCTAAACTTTGTGAAAGCAAAGCTTTGCTAAGATCACGTTTAGAATGTGTTAGAATTTAAAATAGGAGGAGAATGATATCTTTCTCTTGCATTTCTAATTTTAGAGAGATATTCTAGGAAATAATTACCCTGTGCCTTTTTCCTACACTGTTTATCAAATGGAACCACAGATGGAACCACAGTTTTCCCATACTGAGTACTCTGTGCATGAGATTTGGTGGAGTCTCAATTTTGGTCATTTTGCTTAATTGATTCATCTCTTCTGTAACTATATCTTCACAGGTTTGCTTTTTTTTGGTATTTAAGTTTGGGGTTTGTTAATGCTGCCATAGAGATGGGATTCAAAATTATATGACTTCTCTGCCTCTATTTTCTCCTTCTTCATGCCTTGAAGGCACCTTCTAAATCAAGTTGTCTTCTATGTGTCTCCATCACCTAAGGGAGCATGTCAAGGTTGAGGTATGGTAAAGGATGATCTCCTATTCTTATATATTCAAACAAAATCTGATGTTTATTGTTTCAATTGTATGAAATTGTGCAGAATAGTGTGAAATAGTAAGATTAAAAATATTTCTGTCAATAAAAAGAAACTAGCATATGCTTGTGCTTTTTTAGAATACTTGAGGAAGCCCAGTTTCAAAAAGTTACAATTTTAGTGCTTCATCCCCCTCTCTATTTTCCAATTTCAATAGAAGAAATGTTCTGTTTTATTGCAATTTGTATTTGAAGTGCTTTATTGTTTTTGGCTTGAATGATAATTTCTTATATCTGCTAAGGAAATTGCATCAATACAGTAAATATTGTAAACTTCCATGTTTTGAGAAAGACTTGCTCTAACTTTCCTCTGAGACAAATTATTTAATCCTCTTCATTGGCTCAGTGATCCTGAAAAGGATCAGGTCTCTTCCTTTGTGACCCCCCAAAGGGATGAGTCTTAGCATTTAAAAATTCAAAATTTGGCTTTCATGTTCTTTTAATGTTTCTCTCTGGATCTTGGAAAAAGCAGGTCAGGCATGCTGCCAAAGCTCAAATGTACTCAAAGTGAAGGGAATCTATCCCACCCTAATCAAGCACAATTGACAACTAAGGCCATACATTAATGCATATGTTCTAGATTATTGATGCAGCCTATAGGCTTTATCATATTTTCTCAGTACAAGTTTCTTACAAAAATAACAATCAGTGTTGCTTATCATTCTCTTCATGAATATATATGAATGTGCTTTGTATGAACTAAGAATTGTTTACATACATGGAGACTTCTAGGAAGACAATTCAGCTTCATATGTAAAAGTCATGTGTCAGCAAACTTGCATGTTGGCAACATCTCTTCTGCAGTTATTGCAGTGACACAGCATCAAGGTAAATGGTCAAATAAGACTGAAAACCAAGAATATATTTGCAAATAAAGATATAAAAATAGCACTGTAATATCACTTCCTAATTTTACAGTAATTTTTAAAATTTAAATTCGGATGCATTTTTAGCAATGCTATAAAATTGAGGTTCCTCCAAGAATTCCTGATTACAACAGAATGCAAAAGAATAGAAGCTGAGGGTTTTTTAATAGCTTTACTATTTACTGTGGGTCTATTATACATATTTCTTTTTTGTGCCTTTTTTCTTGAAGAGTACAGTTTTCCTTCCCAAAAGGTACTTAAATGACACTTCCAGGATTACTAGTTCCTTCACATGCTGTAATGACTTTTTCCTTTGTGTTTGTTTCTTATTGAATGATAAATTCTCTGTTACATTTGGTCACAACTGAAAATGTCTTCACTTGGGAAGACATTTTCAGTTGTGACCAAAGTTACTTCCCTTCCTTTCTGACAAAATAAATGTGCATCAATTTCTTTAGAAACAACAAATTTGTTTAAATATGGGCAATGGACAAGCCTTCTTGGATTGCTCAGAGATTGTAGCAAGTGAAGAATGGTGGAAAATGAATGGGAAATCTCATGAATGGGTTGAAATTTGAGTAGTTGGAATCTTAAATTATGATGTGTATATAACTTGATATTTTTAAATGTGAAGCAATTTCTCTCAGTAGGGGTAATGGAATGTATCCAGAGACTATTCTAGGGGGAGATGGGATCTATTTAGTTGCTAAAGAAGCCATGCAAGATGCATAAAGTAGCTGTTGCCTTATTTTATTGTTTGGATTTGGGTTTTGTTGGACTGGGGTGGTTTTTTGTGTGTATGCTTGTTTCTAATTTGATGCAGACTTGTGGTTTTGTTTTGTTGTGGTGTTAGGTTTGGTTTGGGATTTTTTGCATCAGTTTGGGGTTGTTTTGTGTGGAGTCATAGTTTTTGCCTTGGATTTTGGGGTTCTTTTTCTTTGATTTGTGTCTTTTGTTTGTTTGGTTTGGTTTGATTTGGTTTGGTTTTTTAACAGAAATGTAGAGAGAGATTTTTCTTCACCTAGTTTACTTGTCTTTTGGAAGACAATGCCTTTTTTTCTCCTGACAGTGGAAGAGTTGGGAGCATTTGCTAGTTCATTTCCCTAAAAAAAAATGAAAATTTGAATGTCCTAGTGTCAGACAAGAGAAGAGTCATGCAGCTATAATTACTATTCATGATGGAAAGACTACCTGCCAAAATGCTGCTGAAAGTTTTGGGATATTAATAGAGAAGCTGAGATATGTCCCTTAAAGCTAAAGGAAATCTGGCTTCTCAGTCTGAGATTGTGACACAGGAATTGTCAGTATTCTGTGCATTATGAGGGATTTTTTAAAATGGGAAATATTTGGCTTTTCATAGCCATGGCAAAGCACCTCATCTGTGTCCAACTGTATCAGTTTTATGCCTTGAGGACCTGCCAATTAGGTAGCCTGTGATATCAGGCTTGAGACAGTGGCATCATGCTTTGTCATGTTGGTTACAAAAATGTTGGAGTTTGTATTCCAGAAAGAAATAATTCTTACCTTAAATTTTAATATATAACTGTAAATTTTAAAGCAAAAAGAGCTTTTCAATGTTTTGGGTGTTTTTTCCTAACTTTCCTTGCCTTGGTCTTTTCACCTCTCTGATAATCTAGAATACTGCAGTTTTTCCAATTGCAGAGCTAATTACGAAAGTACATGTATTTTTAAGGTTATATCATCCAACTGAGTGAAAAACTAGACTTATTCTAGGTTATTTAAAACTCAGGAGGGATAGCAGGAGCAAGTAGTGGCATAAAAATCCAACCAATTTGGTTGAACATTAGGACCTGTGCTTAAGTACTGTGATTCAAATAACTAATTTAATCTTACACAAAATATTTGGGGGACTGGGGTCAGAGTCTTCAGTTTAGAAAGGGAAGGAGAAATAAAAACTGAGCAAAAAATGCCTAGTGAACAACAATATGACAAAAAGTTTTGGTTTGTATAAATGACTTGTACTTAGAAGAAAAATGTGGTTTTAGTTTTGATAATGCCTGACCAATGAGAATCTTTTTCAAGTTACTGTGGAGTGGCCTTAATGCTGTAAATAATCCAATTGGCCAAGTCCCAGTACAGTGCAGATGAGAAAAGGATGCAGGAAATTCTGTTGTTTACACATGTGTCTCTTACACTGAGAAGCAAGAGGAGCCCAGCAAACTCAGAAGGTAAGGGAGTCCTAAGCTTGTGAGTTTAATGTTTAATTTCTATAAATCTCTTCAGGGACAAAGTCTGAGTTACTATCATGCTGATGATAAGGAGAAAAACATCTCAACTGCCCAGAAAAAGTACTGAAGATCAGAAAACAGTATTTGAAATATGTAGCTAAGTTATATCTAGCTGGATTCTTCTCTTCTATGTTTTTTGATACTGTCATGTAGCATTACTTCTAACATCCCATTAAACATAACTTGTTTTTCAAGTGTAGCAGAAGACTTGCTTACTATAACCAGGTAAGTTTTAAAAATTTTCTAAGTGACAGTCTGTTGAAGTTATTTCTTAGTTTTGATTAAAAATTAATATAAATGCAGATGTTTAACAGATTATCCAGTTTTACTACTGAAAACATTTTTAAACTTACTTTGTGAAATGTATATGCAATGGCATAAACTGATAAAACTTTGGTACCTTTTAATGGGGGTGGTATTATGTACATAAGGGTCATGAAAATATTGTTATGCGTTTGCAGAAGTTTGTACTGCATTTTTTTTTGTTGGAAAGCAGTGTTTTCACAGTGTTTCTATTTTGATAAGTTATGCAACTCAATAATGAGTTGTATAATCCTAACTTCCTTCAGGAAATATCTGAAGATGGGATAAGAAAAATGCATTCTTAACTGTATGCTATTATTCTAATGCAATGAAATATATTTTTTGATACTATGATTTGTTGATGTTGGACAAATATATTCAGTCTGTCATTATTTTAAAGGAAAGTATCAGAGATGGTGTGAGACACTGTGGATGATCCTTCTGCAATAAGAACCAAGAGTCAAATTCCAAAAGAAATGTTCATAAGTTTAATAAGCCGATATAGCAAATAATACTAACGGGCTTACTACTGACTATCCAGATAGATGCATTTTGTTTGTATTTTGTTCTCACTTGTTCTTAAAAACATTTTATGAAGCAGACTCTGCTATAAATAGTCCTCTAGCTAGAGTCCTAGTTTTTAGTTTAGAATTCCTGGGCTGATAGAAAAGTTACTTTCATGTTTCTGAATGCAGTTCTTTGTGTAAGATAATGAAGATAAAAGAATTTCCAAAGTATATTAGCTATCATTAATAGAACTAGTCATGTCACACCCAGAGACATCTACAAAAATATGAAATTGAAAAATGTGAAATTAGATGTCTGAGGGGTTCTTTTTGTGCATTTGCACATAACCAGCTTTGAACCAAGGCCGCTCTTTCACCTTAAGTATAAAATAAGCTCAGGTAAACCTGAAAAATAAATCATTTGAAAATGAATGCATGAAAGGAGATGTTAATGAACAGGCTCAAATTATGGTCATTTACTTCAACACAGACAGGTAGATATTGGACAGAAAGGTAGATATTAGAACCATTTGAAGTGTACAAATATGATATTCATGTAATCATAGATTCCTAGAAAGGCTTGGGTTGGAAGGGACCTTAAAGATCATCTAGTCTCAGTCTTACTCCCCAGTACAGCAGGTTGCTTAAGGCCCATCCAACCTGGCCTTGAACACTTCTGGGGTTGGAATCCACAACTTCTTGGGGAAGCCTGTTCCAGTGGCTCACCTGATCTATCCACTAGAAAGAAAGTTCTTTCTAGTCCATACAATGATCTTTAATTAATGATTTATCATGAAAATTATCCTTCCTGAACCGTTTGATTCTCTGCTCATGCTAATTAAGTAATCTAGGTCTGATTTACACTGGGTTAAATAAGACTGGATTTTTTACCAAGGTCATTCTTATTTAATGTCAATCACATTACTGGAGGAATACCCTGGAGGAATTTTCATGAAAGCTCCTATTGTTTTGAATATTTTTAATATGTATTTTCAGTTGACTTGGATGTTTCTCCATAAGTTTTGTAGGTGTCCATTTTTGAAAAAGTGTGTCAACTTCCCTTCTGCCATGCTGAGTAGTCACCAATTATTCAAATAATTTATTCTCTTTTAGTGGCACTACATATTGGCCTAGAGCAAGAGGGCACTAAGAGAATAGACGTGCTTCTCTATGCTTTTAAGTGACATCTAGGATACAACAGATGATACTCAGTGATTTATTTTATTTGACCACTTTAGTAACTGTGGAATCCAGGTAAAAGTCACAATGTGGATTACTCCTTTGTTCATTTCCCTCAAAGATGATTTAGTGATACTGGGCTCATCATGAGATAATGTCTTACAGCATTAAATCACACAAAATCAAAGTCCTTGAGCTATTGATAGACATGAGATGGTGTTAAAATACTAGAATGGTTAGGGGAAAATAAGAATAATTACATATAAATGTCCAAGTAGCAATCTTTTTGTAAAGAACAGTCTTAAAAACATTAATTATACAAGGTATGGCTTCTAAAACTGTTCTGATGAAACCAAAAACATCTCTGCACAAGAGAGTTGTCAGTTCTGATACAATTATATCAGAGTAGTTGAACCAGCCAAAGGGATATGCTCTGACCCAGAGAAAACAAAATATTCATGAGTGTTCTTACTTGTCTGCTTATGTGGGTGGGAAAATCACTTGTTTCTAGACTCTGAGGAGTGTTTTGAAGAAAAATTGTTTTGTGTCCTAATAAGCATTGGAATGTTTTATGTCTTGGTCTGAAACAAATCATCAGATATTTGTGATTAATTTTCCCTACTCCCAGTGTTATGAAATTTCCTTTACAAGTAGGTCATGTTTTGAATAGGAAAGCATCATAAATGACTTCAACTCTAACAAGACAATTCTTGATCTCTCATATCATAAAGCATATGGTTTTAAGATACTGTTAAGGGTTTTAAAACTCAAGAATTTCTCAAGAGTATAAGCAGGGATTAGAAACTTAACTTTTTCAGGGATATGCCATTACATCTTCCTGCTTCATTGAAAATAAAATAAAAGAAAAAAAAGAAAAGACGAAAAAAACCACACCAGAAAAACCCCCAAAACAAAACATGACTCCCTAAACCCAGTGGGATAAAAAAGCCTGTAAATGGAAGTGAAGCTATCCAGTTAAAGGTCACTTTCCAAATGAGTAACACAGAAGAAAATAGAATTGAAGTACAGACTCTAGAAAATAAATTTGTGATGATTTTGTCTAAATAATGAAGCTTCTCTACACATTTAAATGATCTCTACTCTTTGGATGAACATGTTTTAGCATTGCATCTGACCAAATTCTTGTTCAGTAAAGTGCTTTTCATTATGGCTAGTCTGTCTTCTGTTTCCTTTTTTTTACTTTTGAGGCTAAAAGAAACCCTGCTGATCTGACCTGTAGCCTAATCTAAGAATGTGCTAAAAATCTCACAGATCTATGAAATCCTCAGTTGTGTTTGGGAGTAGTTGAGCCTTCTCCACTATATTCAATTATAAGCTACAGTGATTCTCACAAGGAGGTGGATTTGGCTTTTGAACATAAGTAAATGAAACATGAGATAGTAGAATGCTAATACTATCAATAGCTGGGAAAGGAATTTAACCTTTGAGAATTCAACATGATACAATGGTCTTTTGTTTTAATTGTGAGCTATAAGCTTATTTGTAGCTTATTGCAGTTATTAATATTTCATATTAATAAATTGTTTAACTAATACCCTGGATGAAAATTACCAGCTGAATGAGATGTTTTTAGCTTTCTTGTCTTCTTTGACTTTTAACTTACAGCTGGCTTTAATGCTTGTAAAGGCTTCTAAGACCAGTTATGACTTACATACTCAAAGGCAGATCTAAGCTTGTGGATGATGTATACCTTGGGTGTTATTTCCCTACATTTCTATAGTCTTCCCTCTTTCTGAAAACTTCAGAGGAAATCCATGCAAGACAGTGCATGTGTGCACTGGCTGAGCTCATATCCAGTGTGTAACAACACACTGACTACTCTGATTGAGCTGAGTCTTTTGAGATTCTCTGTTGTGAATAGTCCTTTCTATTGTGAATGACTACTGGCTCTCTTGTAACATAGCTGAGTGGTGTAAGAAGTTAGCTGCTTATCCTACTTGTTCCCAGTAAAGGGAATGACCCTGTTAGCACTGCAACTCATTTCAATGTAGGTTAAAAATGTTTGTCACGCTAAACACGCCCTGAAACTAACTTATTCTGCTTTCTGTGTAAACAGAGGAGGAAGACACATGCACTCAGTTAATTTTAGTCTTAGCTGTGGAGCTGCTGAAAAACAAACCAAGCAAATAAAAAAAAAAACCCATACCATTTTAATATTATTAGAGTAAATTTCATTGTGACTGCAGAACAAGGTGTCTGTAGGTATTTCTGTAAATCACAGGAAGAGTTCACTTGTATCTTTAGCTATAAGCATTAAGATAGTGCTTAAGTATAGTGAACTAGTAGTAAAAAATGTGAACCCTATTCTTCTGAAGCAATTACTTGTTTCCAGTTTGAGCAACAGATTACTATTGTTCTAAAGAAATCTCTCTGTGCTATTCAGAAAATATCTATTAGAGCAGATGTTTAACTGATATGAATTATTTTGTATGAATTAACCATTGCCTTATTTTAAATACACTCTGAATCTGTTCTCAATTGAAGTTATTGTTAATATGCTGATTCATAATCTGTTTTTCCTAATAATAATTCAAACAATATATTCCATGGAGATTACCCATCTTCACAATGAATCACTGAGATTAAATTAGAATTTAGGGGACTTGGTTACTTGTTTAACTCAACAGTTTACATTAGGTTTTGTAAACCTATTTGTAAGTCGTTTACTCTGAAAGGGTCTAAAACTTTGAGAGTTCATACTTGCCTTAACTATCTAGGAAGTTTGTTTTGCCTCTTTTTTCATTAATCATATCTTCATAAAATATGGTAATCAAATCTCAAAGGGGAGCTAGCCAAGCAAACTGTCTCAAATGCCACAGCTACCAGGTTTAGTTGGGTTATGATTGGTTTAGCTTCTACTTAGCTCTTTTTGAGACCATCTGGGAAAGCTGTTGGTGTCACACACACTCCCTTCCCTCCCTGCATAATCTG